CGATAGCCTATATTTTCCTTTGTTTTTTAGGGCCAAATAGGGATGGTGTACATGTTAATGAAGACAGTACAGATCAAGAATGGGGGTGGGGGTGGGGAAAGCCTTGCAGGTAGCAGTCTGGATTAATTCTGAAGACAGAATGCACATCTAGCAAGGTAAACTTATTTATTTATTTATTTATGGTATTTATTTAAATCGACACATTGTGGGCTGACCCCATGGCGCACTTGGGCGAGTGTGGCGCTGGGAGCGCAGCGACGCTCCCGCCGCGGGTTTGGATCCTATATAGGAATGGCCTGTGCGCTCACTGGCTGAGCGTGGTGTGGGCGACACCACACCAAGGGTTGTGATTCCCTTACCGGTCACGAAAAAGACAAAAAAAAAAAAAAAATCGACACATTGTAATTGTACATGCTTATGGAGTACAATCTGATGTTTTGATACATGTATATGTTGTATAATGACTGGGCTGGGGTAGTTAATGTAACCATCACCTTATGCATTTACTGTTTCTTTGTGGCAAAAACATACAAAAGCCTTTCCTCTAGCTATTATGTAATACACAAAACTTAACTGTTAACCATAGTCACCATAGTGTGCAATAGAACATCAGAACTTATTCCTCCTATCTAATTGTAATTTTGTACCCATTGGCCAACCTCTTTCTGTTTTCTCCCTCCCCTCCCCTCCCCATCCCCCATCTCTGGTAACCACTGTTCTACTCTCGGCCTCTATAATATCACCTTTTTTTTTCTAGATTCCACATGCAAATGGATATACCCTTGTAACCCACACCCTATCATGTATTCCAAACATTTCCATCTCTCCAGAAAGTCTTCTTAGCAAGGTAAATTTAAAGGGGGCAAGACAAGATGGACAGTAACTGTGGACATGTATGGGAAACTCTTGAGTTTTCTACAGATATGGGTGATGAATGATGATAAGTAGGCTGGATTTCCTATCTGTATTGTTTCCCCAGGTGACCAGAACTTATTGACAAAGACTTGCTCTGATCTCTGGTAGTTAAAAGTTACATGGGTCGGGCCGGCCCTGTGGCTCGCTCGGGAGAGTGTGGTGCTGACAACACCAAGTCAAGGGTTAAGATCCCCTTACCGGTCATCTTTAAAAAAAAAAAAAAAAAGTTACATGGGTCATTACAAAATGACCCAGTCATTTTGCTTATATGATATGTGGTGCTGTAGGTGTGTCTTAAAGACCCTGTTTATGAGATCCATGTGGCTGTTAGTCTGTGGCTGATGGGTGTTGAAAATAAGGATTTAGACTTGGAAGGTTCTGAAAAAGACTCTTCAGATTTAGGACAAAAATCACTGTCTCTATTTTGATACTCTGTGGCTGGGCAGTTCACTCTTCTAAACAGTGTAGCAGAGCCATCCTTAGAAAGTTAAGAAAGTTAACTGCACAGGCTATGAATTGTATCATTTTTATGAATGAATTCACATGCTTAGTAATACGTATCCCTAAGGGGGAACAGGTTCCTTATGGAGACTAAGGCAATGGATTTATGGGAACTTTAGGTGATAGGAATGGGATGGTCCAGTATCTATTGTGGCATAACAAACCACCTCAATCTTAGTGATAAAAGTGAGCCACTTTATTATGCCCCTGTGGGTCAGGAATTCAGACAGCACAGCAGGGATGCTTGTCTCAGGTCCATGATGCCTGGGTCCTCATCTGGGAAGACTGAGGGTTACTCAAATGTCTTAGAGTTGGAATTATTTGGAGGTTCTTCACTCAAACATCTGGTACCTGGGCTGGGATGACTCAAAGGCTGCTCTTTGGGACTGTTGACCAGAGTGCTTACATGTAGCCTTCCATGTGGCTTGGGCTTTCTCAGGGCATGGTGACCTCTGGGTAGCTGATCTTTTTACATGGTGGCTTAGGAATCCAAGAGTGAGAACAAGGTGGATTCTGCATGGCCTTTCTGATCTAGCCTCAGCAGTCATGCAGGATCACTTTTGCACACTCTATTGGTCAATGCAGTCACAGTCCACCCAGATTCAAGGGGAACTTACCTAGAGCCCATCTCTCAATGAAGGAAGCCTCAAAAAAATTGCAACTTAAAAGTTGTCCTAATGTGTATCACAGCCTCTTAGGATTTACAGGAATCTTTCTGGACCAGGTTCATGTCTCAGATATCTCTATGTGGTGCAAGGCCACCTGCCAAATTTGAGGCTACTAAAGTCAAGGCTTAAAGAATTTGGTGGACTGTAGGGGTAACTTTGTGACACAGAGGTCACGTATAGGTGGCCATGATAGTTTAGCAGGCCTCTTCTGTATTTGACCCTTCTGGAGCTGGAGTACATGATTCTAGATCTTCTTTTGGCTCTCTCTATTGGTCATAGATTATTGCCATCTTCTTTCTAACAAAAATCTGGTCCTTTTACTTCCCTGCCTATAACCCTTTAAGGACTCTCTATCATCTCCAAGATAAACTCCAAGGCAATTAGCATCACATACAAGCCCCTTTATGATCTGGCCCTGGCCACTGGAAACTCAGAGTCTATGCAATAGCCCCCAATATGAAAAGCATAGTATAATTATTGCATTAAAATCCCAGCTGTGGGCCAGCCTATGGCTCACTCGGGAGAGTGTCGTGCTGATAACACCAAGGCCATGGGTTTGGATCCTATATAGGGATGGCCGGTTAGCTCACTGGGAGAGCATGGTGCTGACAACACCAAGTCAAGGGTTAAGATCCCCTTACCAGTCATCTTTTATTAAAAAAAGAAAACTCCAGCTGTGGTAGGCCTTATCACTTCCGTGGGGAACTATGAAAGACCTTTCTTCCCGCAGTTGATGACAGTCCAGAACAAAAATGGCCTAGTTTCTACAGGTTTCTCTATTTAGCCAGTTATTGAGGGTCTAAGCCTGCAAATAGATTCTAATTTTGTAGCCAATGCTCTCCTTTCACGCTTGACTCTTTGTATAGATGCCAGCCTAATGGTTTTGACTCCTCTAACTTTCATGGTGAATTGTTTCTCAGGAGCCTTATCTCTTTAGGCAGTCTGTCTGCTCCTGGTTAGGGCCTCCTAGTCCGTCACACACATTTTAATAATTTTCATTATTAAAGGAATGAAGAAGGGATCAAGAGGCCCTTTCATCCAGAGTCCCCTCTGTGTCTACATACATTTTTTTAAATGTCTAACTCTGCCTATCAGCATATAAGGTCCATATAACAATCAACACTGCATGTGTGTCTGCCACAACTTCACCTGTTTACAAGACCTAAGTCCAGGTCTTTGGCCAAAATGTTCCAGAACATGTGCAATTTCAGGGATTCATGGATCCTTTGAGGTAGGACTGATGGATAAAATACAGACACACAATTAAATATGAATTTCAGGTGAACAACTAATTTTTTAGTCTAAGTCCTGTGCAATATTTGCACAGATAATGGATAATCATGTATTTTTGTGGGGAGTGTATCCAAATGTTTACCTGAGCTTCAAAAGAGTCAGTGTCTAAGAATTCCTGAAGCAAGACTGGAAGGAACTGATGCACTCAAGTGACTCACAAAGAGAGGGTAAATCTATTGCACGGAACATACTTACATTTAAAAATCATCATCCATTGTTTATCTGTAATTAAAATGTAATTGGTTAAGGGCCAGCCCGTGGCTCACTTGGGAGAGTGTGTTGCTGGTAACACCAAGGCCACATGTTCGGATCCCTATATAGGGATGGCTGGTTCGCTCACTTGGGAGAGCGTGGTGCTGACAACATCAAGTCAAGGGTTAAGATACCCTTACTGGTCATCTTTAAAAAAAAAAATTGTAATGGAGCATTTGTATTTTTTTACTAACTAATTCTGGCAGCCCTATCTCGAGGCCAACTACAGCTTTCCTAAATTCATGGATTGTAGAGTATATACTGAAGAAAACTACGTGTTTTTCTTTTTCTTTCTTTCTTTCTTTTCTTTTTTTTTTTTTTTTTTTACCATTATTGAATTATTTAATCATTCAACACTGAAATACCAGGGCAAAGGGTAAACTGAAAGAACCCCTTCCAATTCCTTTAGCTCTAAATATTAGGACATTATTTTTGTTGTCTTCAGGAATTACATTATTGTAGTGTGACTGTGAGATTGACAATGTCACCTACAATTACGGCTAGTAATTTCCTTGTTAAATTCCTAGAATAGGAGGACGTTGCATCAAGGCGTTGAAACCGCAGACCTAAAAAAATTTAATTACATCAATAGCAGATGTTCAGCCTGAGTAAGGAAAGGAGCTGAAACACGTACTCCCAATTATTCACCAACCCCCTGAAGCCGGGACTACAACTCTGGGAAAAAAATGAAATCTTCATTTGTCTTACTAAGTCCTGTCACAGCCACCATTTAGCTTTTTTTCTCTTATTACCATTTGTAATTCCATAATCAGGCTAACCTTTCTACCAAATTCTTCTGGAGGAGTTCTTTTTTCTTTTTTTCTTTTGGTAAATTTTATTCGGACAAAGAAACATAGAGAAAACTTCAAAAGGTGCAAATGGTTATATGTACAATGAAAATAAAGTCTCCCTTTCATCCTGACCCCTACCTAGTTCCTGGTTCTTAACTTGGGTTAGGGACCGGAGTCTAAGGGTGGATTTTTAAAGTAATGTGAATTCCCTGAATGCATAATTTTCAATGTCCGATTACTGTGCGCTTGTGTGGGGGAGACGAACCAAACTTCTGCCTGAGCCTCAAAAGAATCCGTATCTAAGAACGTCCGAGGCAGGACTTGCTGAAGGAACCGATACGCCCAAGTGCCTCGGAAAACCCAGTAATCATTTGTCCCTGAGTAACAAGCCTACCCTTGTCCATCCCAACCCGGGTGCCCCAGGGAAGTAAGTTCTCTACGCGAGGGATCACGCTCCTTTCTTCCCAAGTTCCTCGCCCGCCGCATTCCTTCCCTCCAGCGCGTCGGCGTGCGCTGACGTCATGACGCCGCACACGCAGTCCCGCCCCTGCAGCGATCGCGCTGGGACGGAATCCGGGTTCCTCTCAAAGCCGGAATGTGAGGCTTTGGCCCTGCTGTTCGGTTCTCCCTGTCCCGTTCTTCACCCGGACCTGCGTCCACTGCCGCTGTCCCCCAGCTCGCCCCGGGAGGAGCCAGGGCGGCTGCGCCCTTCTACTGTGTGCTCGCGTGGCTACCGTGCCCTCCGAATCCTCAGGGGCCGCAGAAGGGGTTCGCTACGGAGGGAGGCGGGGGCCTTCGGGAGGAGGAGGCGGAGGAGGCGGAGGAGGAGGGAAGGAAGATGGCGGCCGTGGAACTAGAGTGGATTCCAGAGACTCTCTATAACACCGCCATCTCCGCTGTCGTGGACAACTACATCCGCTCCCGCCGAGACATCCGCTCCTTGCCCGAAAACATCCAGTTCGATGTTTACTACAAGGTACGGACCGTGGGCCTGCTCTCTGCAATCCTGCCACAACCCCTGGGGCCGCACCCCCTTCCACGTCTGCGAACCCCCGCGGTTAACCGCTCACCACTGGTAGCAGGATCACCTCCCGAGACGTCTGCTGTGGGGTCTTCGTTGCCCGGATAGAAACACCCTGTCTCCACATCCTCTGTCTCTTAAGCTTTTGGGTCTTCCTTATTATCTCCTCATGCGTCTTGCCCACTGTCGGTGTTCCCTTCTGCACAGTGGCCCCCTTGGGTAGGCCTTTGCGTGGACTTCCTCTCTTGTGTCCCTGTCCCACCAAGTCCTTTTCTTGCAGCCAGTATCCTCGGGATGTCTTCCGCCCTCTCCCCCCAGTTAAATGTCATTGTCAGCTGGACTTTTTGGTCTGCCCGCCCCCACCCCTCTTCCTACTTTTCTCATCTCTCCGCCTTCACCAAGTGTTTTTCTGTGCTTTATGTTCCTTCGTTTTTCCTTTCTCTTCCCAATCGGGAGGGAATTAGGGATTATTGGAAATAGTCTGTGCGCTTTGTTTGAATATTCTTTAAAGCTTTGCTTTCCTTTCGTTTATACTTGGGGTTGAATTGGGGATTGCATGTGGGAGTGTTGATCAACTGTTTGAAAAGGAAGGGGAGAAATCTTTCCTGAAAGAAAAAATACTTTAGAATTTAAATTATGTCCATGTATTTGAAAGTTGCAATCTTGCAGCATTCTTAAATCTCTCCCCCTCAAAAATCTGAACAGAATGTCTCCAAGTAACTCTCCAAGGAGTTTCAAGGATAAGTGTCTTTAGACGTGGACAGTGTTTGCAGTGTTTGGAGAAGGGAGGAGAACTTTATGGACTTGGAGACTCCCTTTTCCTCTCCCCCACATTTGAATGTGAACACTGGCTTTATTATTCTTTCCTTCTTGCTTTGAATTGGCGTGGAAAACTCCTAATTTACAGTAGCCATCCATGCAGAATGTGACCAGAAGTAGAGTATTATTTATTTTTTAGATCTTAAATACTTTCTCTGGATTTGTAAGTTGGCTGGAATAGTGTAAACTGATATTTAACAGATGTGTATATTCTTATATATGTATGGTGTTTTATGGCAGTTGTTTTATTGGGAATATTGCCCACTTTCTTCACCCCCAAAATATTTTTTCAGAATTAGCAGCTGACGTGCTGCATTCTACTAAATCCAGTTGCTTTGCACCAATTCTAATAATTAAAATGCGGCCCCCCCCCCCCATATTTGGAGATTCACGTTGGTCATGCTTACTGCTATTTTGGGATTTAGAGTAAAACCTCCCTCAATTCCAAATCCCTTTGATACATTGATTTACTTTTGTGTATGTCTAAGGAAATTTTGCACATTTAAGTTATATTCCTCCCAAGAGAGTATGACTTAGATTTGTCTTTCTCAGCCTGGGAAACTCCAGCTTTCTGTGTGCTATTTCTGCCCATTTTATTAAATCATGTAATTTTGTATACTTTTTAGAAGAAATCATTGGGAATTGAATCTATCAAAGTACATTTACTTGTCGAATTCCCTCAAAGTACTTGGATATCTTCTAGTAACTTTCACTTCTAATTGAAGCTTTTTATTTGAAGATTATTATTAGTGAGTATGAACAGATGGTGCTTGTGGTATTGTGAAACAGGTATTTGGTCTTTGTCCCTATTTCCTGGCAAACAACTTCTAAAATCCTTGGATTTTCCAAAGCGTTAAATGTATTTTTGTATGTTAATGAGTTGACTGAAGACAGGCAGCCCCTAGGTAGCTTTGGAATGGGGGCTGGTTCCCTGAAAGACCAAGGCCTGAGTAGAGGGTTGGGACTTTCAGCCTCACCCCTAACTTTCAGGGAGAGGAGAAAGGCTGAAGGCTAACTTGATCACCCGTGACCAGTAATTTAATTAATCATGTCTCTGTAATGATGCCTTCGTAAAAACCCAGAAGGACTGGGTTCAGAGAGCTTCAGGATAGCTGAACATGTGGGGGTGGGTGGCGCCCCCAGAGAAGTAACTTGCCCTACATGTCTCTTCATCTGTATCTTTTGTAATATCTTTTATAATAAAATGATAAACATAAGTAATTGTTTCTTGAATTCTGTGAGCTGCTCTAGCAAATTAATTGAACCCAAGGAGGGGGTCATGGGAACCCTGATTTATAGCCAGACGGTCAAAAGCACAGGTAAAACAGTCAGAAGTCGGGGGCAGTTTTGTGGGACTGAGCCCTCAACCTGTGGGATTTGATGCTGTCTCTGGTAGTGTCAGAATTGAACTGGAGGATACCTAGCTGGGTCTGCTGCTGAAGTACTATTTGCTTGGTGTGTGTGGAGGCAGGGGGTGGGGGGTGGGGTGGAACCCAACCCTCACGCATCTGGTCACAGAAGTATTCTATGTTGATTATTGTGTAAGAGAATAGAAAAAGCACTTTCCCCCCTCTATATCCTGAGTGCTTTTGTCCCATTTTCTGTTTCACATAGTTCACAAAATCTTATGTTGCTGCTTTTGGTACACTTTTACCCCTTAATCAATGTTTGTTGGGAGTATAGCACTGTGCTAAGGTGAAGGAAGGTATTTGACATGTGCCTGGAACTGTGTTAGTGCTTTTACATGTGTTTTCTTGTTTAATCCTTGTAATTAAACTGTGAAGTAGAGTATAACACTGTTTCATAGGTGAGAAAGTTAAGTAACTTACATTACTCAAGCCCTTAATCCTAATATTTAGTTCCTGAGTACCTTGCTTTTTGGTTTAGAAAGATTTTATATCTTGAGGTAGTAAATTATTTTATTAAAAGATATAGAACTAATTTTTTTATTAGTTCCTATAGAAGTAGATAGAGTAAAAGTCAATCACAGGACTCCAGTCTTTAATGGAGATACAAGAAGGAATTTTTCTTCCTTTTAAACACTGCATCAGAACATAGATATAAGATACTATACTTTTTAAGCACTTTAAATATACACATAAGTGTAAGGTATTCATCCCCTGCCCAACTTGTGAATATTTTAGGGGGCTTATGTTTATAGTTTCCAATTTTCTTCAAGGAGAAACTCATAATCAGATAGATCCCTCCTGGAATCCTAATTTCCATCAATAGGCATAGTCATAGACAAAATTGTAATATTTGTGGGATCAAAAATTTCCCCATCCTTCTTGATTAGTGTAGTCCAGTGTCACTGTTAATTTTTGTCAGTAGCTTCAGATGAAGGTACAAAGTATTAGGAGAGGAGTTTATGGAATTAATGGGAGGTGAAGAAGTTGGAATGTTAACTGCTCCCTAGGAAGGGAAGGGAGAGAGAGTTTTAAGTAGAAAAGGTAAAATATGAAGTGATTTTTTTTTTTAAAGAGTGGAAAACATTACAATATATTTGTGACTGAATAGCAGAAACCAAAAGAAATTGAATAGACAGATGAGGCGGGAAATAAATTATGGAGCAGAATCCTGAGCAGGATCATTAATCAGTGAGTCTTCTCCTTTTTTGGTCTTTCATCCTTCTCCATGTGTAAAGGTATTAGTCTTAAATTGAAGTTAGGGAAAGAGTACTTCTCTAAGATCAGAAGGAAAGAGTTAAAGATATAAAGTGTCTATAGGTAAGTTTGCAAGGAATGTTTGTCACAAATTAAGAGGTGAGATCATCTGCTGAGGGTAAAGGGTAGGAGTGGTAGCTTTTAGGTAGTAAGGCCAAACAGAAGTTGGAAATTGCTACTTAGGAATATGGGAAGGGAAGCCGACTAAAATCTGCAAAGAATTTGACAGACAGTATATAGATGGTTCAACAAAAATCGATATCCTACAAAATAATGGCTTTGATTCTGAATGTTTTTTCTCCAATGGCACTCAGCCATTTGGTTATAAACGTGGGTAGGGTGATTTGAAAGAATTGTAAAATTGTATACAAAGTGAAAGCAAATAGAGTGAGGTCCTGAGTTCTTTAAAGAATGCAGTTTTATTATCTTTTGTTTTTCTTTTAATTGCTGAATGGTCTTTTTTGTGTCCCGTTTCAAATACAAGGTTCGCAGCAGAGATAAGTTTTGCATAGGCAAATTGTTTCAGTAATGTGTTCTATTTATTGTTTTCAGTCTTAAACTTAATGATTTTGGTTTTTTAATTATTGTGTCATGCTGAAAATCATACTAATTAACACCTTAGGGTTAGAATTAATTTTCTCTTTTTCTGTGTATATTTCTGTTATGTAACTGTATAGCCTCAACCAATCTTCTAAGAATCATTTAAAACTAGCTGGTAACAACTTGGAAAAAAAATTTGCTATGTATTTGAAAACCAAAAATTTAATATTCTTTTTATATAAATAGCTCTTAGGATCAGTAAGATGAGAACTCAAACTTTATGGGGTGGGGGGGTCTGGCTGGTTAGCTCAGTTGGTTAGAGCATGATGCTGATAACACCAATTGAGGTCCAGGGTTCTATCTCTACACTGGCCAGCTGCTAAAAAAAAAAAAAAAAAAATTATGGGGGAAGGGATGTAAAAGAACATAAATAGCTTGTCAAATCATGTATCTGGATGGGAAGGTAATATGTTATAAATATGTTATCTTGTTGCAGTTTAAGCTGTGAATTTATCACAATTTGAACGAGAATCTCAGAATTATATTTAGTATAGAAAACTGATGAAATATGAAGTTCATCTGGAGGAATTATAATATATGAGCCAAGGAAATTTTGAAGTACGATACATGGGAGAGATGTGCATTTTAAGATACTCAAGCATATTGGAAAGCTACATATTTTAAAACAGTGTAGCATTGGCACCTGAACAGCTGAGAGAGAAATTTATTTATAGAACATAGTAGACAGTCTAGAAAGAAATCAAAGCATATTTAAGAATTCACTATATGATGAAGTTATGAGACTGTTATAATTCGGATCAATGAGGAAATATTAAAAAATGCCCCGGGCAACTGGCTATTTAGGAAAAAGACCTGTACTTCATACCGTATACCAAAATGAATTCCAGATGAATTAAAGATTTAAATTTGGCA